CAGCCAGTTTTACAGATATTGACCTGAAGTTGGATATAACAGTGGCTCAGAATCATCCCATAGTCTGAGCTCTTAATAGATTCCTGAAAATCAATGTTTAAAATGTTGTTAACTATTTGAAGTCAACTCTGTCAATCAGTTCAGCCAGTTTTACAGACGTTGAGCTAAATCTTAATGTGGTAGTATCTAAAATTCAATAACAACTCGTACTCTGAGCTTGACATTACATAATATTTCATATAATGTTATTTTCAAGGTTAGACCAAAGTGACATCACTGTCATTTCTCAACATACAGTATGATGATCTCAGTCTTCAACTCTGGCGTGAAAGGCATGGGTGATATGCATTACTTCATGGATGATTTCATTTTGCATGTGTTCTCTTTTTTTAATTCTGAGTAGATTTTCAATTATTTATTCTCCTTTTATATTAGTTTGAATCATGTGACCCTGTAGCATTTTTTAAAGCCAAGTTTAAGCCATTACCTGTATCAGCATCTACTGTATGTGTCTGCCTGACATGACAGGGATTTATTGTATGCTTTGTGTAATCTGTCTGCCTGATATGTGTTGTCAGGGTGATATTGGTTTGCCTGGACCCCAAGGGACACCAGGTCCAGCAGTAAGTATGTCTTTACGTCATACTGTCCTTTGATCTTTCGTCTGGATTGTTTAAGTCCACTGCTGGCAACCAGTCAGCGATGTTTTATTAAGTATTGAACAGCAGACTTCAACCCATAACTCCCACGGCACTGCACTGGTTCGACTAAGAACTCTGTTGACTTGTGGTCTGTGCCGAGGATTTACTGTGCACCTACAGTACGCCACGCCTGTGAGCTGTATTATAAATGTGAAGCTGCAGAGGTGCTGATGATGTGACACTATTGAGGACCTGTCAAATGAGGCGCGCTCACTTCTTCTCTGTGTGATTGACAGGGGAAGCCCGGCGCTCGCGGAGAGCCAGGGATCCCAGGAGAGCCGGTGAGCCGCGGCGTCTGACTCTCTTTGAACTGTCAATCCTGGCATCGTTCCTTTGTCACTGCAGACTGACACCCGGGCTGTCTCTGTTCTCCGACAGGGTGAGAGGGGGCCGATCGGTGAGACAGGATTCCCTGGACCTGAGGGACCCCAAGGTGTTCCTGTAAGGATGCGGCACAATTTACGGTCCTCTTCTAATCAGTAGTAGTTACTTTCAAATCACCCTCCAGTAGGGGAGACCGGGGACAGCAGCAACAAGGGACAGTTGCAACACGTCCTTTTTCTCCAAACAGAAACAAGCTAGAGTGATGACACTCACACTGTACATGCTCAGTTAGATGTCCCACCTTACAAAGAAAAAGTAAGCAGATTCAAAAACTGCTCCAGGATTTATTTGAAAAAAAAAAACTGTTTTTGAGGTACCAAAGTGTTTTTCCCCCAGCTTTATTTTTGTTTTACTGTTGTCACTGTTTTTGTGATCCAGCTCAAACTTATATGGTTTAAACAAGTGATATGTTGACTTTTAACTAATCTAGTTAACATGTATCCAGATGAGCTTATTTAGCTAACACATGAGGTTTTATCATGGCTGACAGGAAGGGGGACAGTTGCAACAGTTGTTACAACTGTCCCCATATGATAAATCCATATAAAAACGGACCACAAAAAGATGATATTAAGATGTTGAAATTAAGTTTAAAGGTATTGGGTATTCATGGCAGTTTTATAGTGTATAACATAAAAGTGTTCAAGATGTATTTTCTGCAGTTGTTGTTTTCAACAATGGTTTTAAAATCCCAGTTTCTTTCAAGGTAAATTTTGCGTAATGTAGGCGTACAGTGACAATAGGCAAAACAAAAGTTAATTGCCTCACAAAATGTTGTTATTCTTGTCTCTAAAAGCCAAATGTATTTTATATCAATTTGAGTCTTTGACATCTGTATATAAGGTCTACTCATCAAGGCAAATCTATATTCATCGTTTGATCAAAAAGAATAAATAAATAACACTGTAATACCATTAAAACTTGTTTTTTTTTTATAAATTTTGCAACAATATAAATTAAAAAATAATAAAACTTTTATTTACAGTGAAGTATATTGTATTAATAACATGCTGCAACRACCCGCAAACAATGTTGCAACTGTCCCCGGCTCCGGGGGTCAGTTGCAACTTCTGACTTTTCATTTTTGAATGCAAATTGTGATGAATGTACATGCTTTGATCATCTATAAATGGTTTTGACTATTAACAGACAGATGCAAGTTTATTGTATTAATTTTTTTTGTCTAATTCAAACCATCTCTGAGTAACAGAGTCAAATGTAAAAAAGTGTTGCAATTGTCCCTGGTCTCCCCTGATGTCCACTCACTATTTTGCTATAGTAGACCCGTTGGCACGATTCAAGGGCAATATGGATGAAATATGCATGCTATCTACCACTTGTTCTGAAAATGATTGTATTCCTACATTCCGTGTAATTACCATCAGAGATACTTTCTGTAATTTCCCCCTGTAAGTGCACAATGGACCAGTGTTCACTCAGCAATCAGGATCATTATCCCTTGGTTGAGATATCCCATTAAGTGCGGAGATTACTAGCAGTGCAACAGTGCTGATCCAATCGAAGGTGGGAGCTGATACAAAATGTCTTTGTTTGTGTTGCGCTCCTCGAGCAGGGCCGGCCCGGAAGAGATGGAACTCCGGGATACAAGGTGAGCCGTGTGAACGTGTTGCAAATCTCCTTATAGAAAGTGCTTTACATCAGCCAAGCTACAGAGAGATGGCACAGCAGATTTTTATCCCCCCCCCCCCCACCACCACCATCACCTCCAGCTACAGCATGCTGACTGCATTAAACCTATTTGCATATGAGAGATTTTAGCGATAGAAACTAAATGGAATCCTGCAGATTTAAGGCTTTGTTGATTTTCAGTCTTTATACCCTAATTATACATTTAATGCGTTCAGACAATGATAAATATATCTGTAATAGAGGGCAGTAGACACTTCCAATTAATTATACATTGTTTTGCTTGGTGAACCTGGCCAAACCTGAAACAAAAAGTGGAGAAAAGTCTGTTTTTTGGTGGCTGATCAGATTTAATGTACACTATTTACTTCATGAACAAACAGAATGGTCTTGCCGGATGCAGAACGGATCTCCACATTATGTGGTCTTACTCCCAAACCTGACTGATTGTAGTTATTATTGTTTTGCTCTGATATACAAGATGTTTTTTTTTTCTCCTCACACCTTAATGACAGCCCCAACGTTTTATCGTTTGCTCATTTTTTATGATTTAATATTCTTTGACTATAATCTCAGCTTTCCGTCGAGGCTCTCGTCACAGAGGCTGATGTTTTAATGGAACAACAGTGCCATCTAGTCGGCGGCTTTCAGCATCTGCGTGGATCCCTTGCTCGCTGCTTTGAGCTTTAACGTAATGCTCTGGGAAGCACATTTCAGTGGGCAAGATGATAGATTTAAGCTTCCCATCAGGCAGCGGGGAATACAGCATGCTGCAGATTAAGGCAGGCAAGGGAGAAAGGCATCACAAAGCGATGGCCGCTTTAAAGCCACATCAAGTCAGATTGTCTTTTGCATGGCTCCTGTAATCCGGCGGGAAATTGATACAAAGATGCTCCCTGAGATGATGCTGTGAGGAAAGAAAAAAAAGGGGGGAAACAATGAGGACTGACAGGGAGGGTACAGGAAGACACGAGATGTTGTGACATGCAGCCAGGGACAGGTATTTTCTTGCAGCTCCCTCAGTACAGTGGAGACAGCTGGTGGTGGGGGGGAACGGGGGCCTTTTGTCAAACGAAACCAGAGTGATGCAGAGGAGTCGTGACATTGCAGAAGGTGAAACACAACACAGGGAGATATTATYCAAGCAGAACACCTGAGCTGAGTTAGAAGCAATCAATGCACAGTCATCTGAAAGGTGTGCAATTCTCAAAGTCGAGCAATTCTGAAAAAAAAAAGCTTGCTCACAGTTTCCCTTCAGGCAATAGAATCGTCTGCAAATCTTGAAGTGAATTTGTTGGATCTTATATTGATCACCGTTATATGAGCACAAGAGAATAATAGCCTTTCACTGTACATGTGAATTATTTACTTTTCTCTTCAGCCACAAACTCTAAAAGGCATTTTGCTTGTGTTTGTTAAGGGCGACACAGGTCGACTGGGAGACCGAGGATCCAAAGGAGAGCGTGTAAGTACTGTCACTCTTGTCTTAACAAAAAGAGGCGGTTGACTTAAACAGCAGTGCAGCAATGTGTTGATGAAAACTAATGACTGTTAATGAAAGTCTTTTCTTCATCACGYATATTGCTAATCCCCGCAAGCGAATAAACACTAAGAAAAAAGGCATTTCACGCTCTGTGCAGTTTGTGGTTGTATTTGCGAGAGCTCGGTCACAGTTGTGCAGGAATCTGTTGCGAACGCTGGTAATAGAGARAGAAAATGAGACTCTCAGCTTTCCAGCTGGCAAAAGAGCAAAGGACGAGTGAAAGACGCTAACACGTTAAAAGAAAGGGGTAACTGTGTGCAGCATGGTAAGTGATAAAGTTAGCCGGAGACTTAGCCTGCGCCAGACAAAAAAAGCCTCGCTTTGATTTTTTTGCACTGTTGAACTTTCACACAATCTGCAGCAAACCGAGCTGAAAGACTGCTACTCTGATGCAGGGCGATCCGGGGATTCCCGGGGAAAGAGGCGTTCAAGGTGAGAGGGGTCGCGTAGGAGATCCTGGCCCTGTCGGASCTATCGGACCGCCGGGCGAAAAAGGCGACCCTGGTCCTCCTGGACAGRTGGGGCGTGTCCAGCTACTGGTAGGTGTTGAACCTTTTGTATTAAACAGACCCTACTTGCAGTTAGTTAAAACCCTAACCGTCCAACACGCTCTCAGTTTGTGTAACCAGCTCAGGCCTCGCTACCGGCATGAAAAACGGTGTGTCTACAGCTTTCTGCATGGAACATCAAACAAAGCTGTGCGCGGGAGCTCGCTGCTCACTTTTCTGCTCGACGCTTCCCACTCCTGATCATCTAGGCATAACAGAAGGTCAGGGAGGAAGAGAAACGGAAACGGAGGGAAAGACAGAGATATGTGGGCGTGCCAAGAGCTCTGCAAAGCAGAGAAAACACCTCCGTCTGTCACAGACATTTTACACTTACTGCAGTTATATAACATTCGCAGCGATGAAAGCTGTTTTGAATGCAGCGATTTAAGGATTTAAGCCTTCGCTGGTGGGGCTGCCCTGGAAAGCAATGCAGCTGAGAACCATTCTCATGGCTGACAAACAATTTTTCAAAGGGGCAATATCATGTAAAATCAACTTTTTTTAAGTTTTGTATCATGTTATAATGTTATACTCTCATAAAAAAAACATGCCCAAAGCCTTGCTTTGACTCATTCATGCATGTTTGAGAAATCCTGCAGTGTTTTTAGGCAGTCATGCTGAGGAGCAAAACGACAGGTGGGGACC